CCCCACCTGTCCAGCCCGGCTCTGCGCCCCCCGCCGCCGGGACCTTCCGCGGCTCGGAGCAGGCAGCGGCGGCGCCCTGTGGCCGGAGGCTGCTAAGGCAGGAGCCGGGGGGGGGGGGGGGAGCGCCGTTTCCTGCTCTCCCCGAGCGGGACTTGAACCAGGGACACACCAGGAGTCACCCCGGGCTGGACCGGCCCGGAGCTGGAGCAAACCGCACCGCTAGGAGGTGCCCTTGCGCCCTGCTCCTCCTGGCCCGGGTCAGCCCCATACCCCCGGCTCCGGAGGAACTCAGGCTATGGACTGGCTGGGAGTCCCCTAACACATCCCCTAGGGAATGAATGGGGTCCCCTGGCTAACACCCCCCCCCATGGACTGAACGGGGGTTCCCCTAGATAATGCCCCCTTTTAAGAATGAATGGGGGGGCCCTGGCTAACACCCCCCATGGACTGAACGGGGGTTCCCTTAGCTAATTCCCCCTTTTAGGAATGAATGGGGGGACCCTGGCTAACACACCCCCATGGACTGAACGGGGGTCCCCTAGCTAATACCCCCTTTTAGGAATGAATGGAGGGCCCCTGGCTAACACCCCCCCCATGGACTGAACGGGGGTTCTCCTATTGATTACCCCCTTTTAGGAATGAATGGGGTCCCCCTAGCTAACACCCTCCCCCCATGGGACGAGATGGGCTCTCTTCGCTTAAATCCATTTGCCAACCAGCTCTCCTCCTTTTGCCTTTGCGAGGTCAGGGCAGTTGCACCTGCCGGAGAGACCTGCTTTCTCTTACTCCCTTGTGCCATTTGCTTTTCCTGTCTCACCCCTTCCACTCCCCCGCACACCTCTCCGGGGTCGGTCGCACGCGTCGTGCACACCCCGGATCAGTGCAAGCAAGTTACACTCGCTTGACACACCTGCTTCCTAGCCAGCTGACACCTGCTTTGTAACTCACACCCTGGGTGAAATCCCTCCCGGGGCCGCTTGGCGACCGGATGGGAACGGCGCCCTCCCACGACAGGCCTGAACGGGGCCCAGGGAAACACGGGAAAGTGGCCAGAGAATCACAAACAAGAGGGCGAGGAGGAGAAAGTGAGAGAGACACTCCCCGGAGAGTCGGAGTCACTCGCTCCCTGGCCGACTCCCTGCACGGGCTCCTGTTGCTTCATCCCAGGGTCCCCTGCTCGCAGACCGGTTCTGCCAGGCTCGGGTTCCCTCCGGCATCAGCTCCGCGTCGTAGGCCGGAAACGCCAGCCAGGGCTGCAGCAGGAGACGAGTCTGCTCCCTGATTGCTGGCCCCCTTTGAGATCAATGCAGTAGGCCTAGCCCCATGCAGAGCCCAACTGGGGGATCCCCGAGTGGTTCTGCCTTGGGGAAGGTGTGTGTGGGTGGGGAGACATGGCACAATCTCTGCTCAGGCCTCTTCTAGGCCCGTCCTGTGAGTAACGAGGGGAAGGGGGCTGCAATCTACAGTTCAGGCTCCCACCGCCCCTTTCTCTGAGGGTCACACCTTGATCAGTCATGACTCATCCAAGCATCTTTAATGTTGCAACGGACAGATAGAGAGATGTAGGAGTCAGCCAGATCTGCCCTGGGGGTGGGGGTGGGGGGTCCATAACCTGCCAGGTCAAAGGGCATCTGGGGGTGGGGTGACCAGCTGCCTGCTACCCCCTCCCCAATCTTATGGGGACTAGGGACACTCTAGGAGTCACCCAGGCTTTGGCTGGGCTGTGGCCTGGCCAGAGCCCCCATTTGAAGAGTTGAAGGGAAAAAGGCTTCAGCGGTAGAAAGCGGGATCTAGAGAGGAAATGCCTGAGCCGTGCCCAGACAGGCCGTTCCAGGCGCGGACGCCCCCTTCCTCCTCTCCGCTCACATTTGGAAATCTTTGGCTAGGAGGGGGGAAAATGCTTCCAAAATTACATTGTCCAATAGCTCCTGTCTCTGGCTGCGCATGGAATTGTGTCTCTTGGAGCGGACATAAAGCAAAGGTCTTCACTAATCGTTGTCATTTTTACAAGAGGTGGGGTGTTGGAACCCCCTTGTCCTGGCCAAATTACACCCAGGGTAATTACATTCTACCCCCTTAAATTCTCCCCTGCTATTTCAATTGGTTATTGCAGTATGGTGGTGGTGTGCACTGTTAAACCAGCTGCAGCATTCCACCCCAGAAGCAGCCGCATTTCAGTGGCAGGTAAAGTGAGCCCTGTGTCTAAAGCACATTGAGACCTTTCAGGATGAAAAGCAAGATTGTTACTAGGGTTCAGCAGGAATATTATTTATTCCAGGCTAGCAAAACCGGCACCGAAATTTGCCAGCCCCATGCACAAAAATTGACTCAGCGCACGAGTGCCAAAAATGGGATTGGTCAACAAAGAGACTTTTTTGTGGCTGTCAAACATAGGTAAGGTGCTCAAGGTAAACTGAACTTTGCGAGGCTGACTTATTCTAGAGACACGATGATTATCACTGATAGGAGGCGCCAATCCAGATTATTGAGAGAAAGGGCTACAGCATTGCACTGAGACTCAGGAGACCTCGGTTCAGTACCGGGCCCAGCCACTTAGGCCCATCTCCTCAAAGGTATGTTAGGATTTTCCATACCTTTGAGGATGTGGGCCTTACTCACCCTGTGCCTCGGTTTCCCCATCTGTGAAATGGGGATAATAAGGCTTCTCACTTCTTGTCTATGTGGATTGTAAACTCTTTGGTGCAAGAACTGTCTCTCCTATGTGTTTGTACAGGGCCTAGCACCATGGGGCCTTGAGCTCTGTTGGGGCCACTAGGTGTTCCTGTAATACAATTACTAAGACAACTGGGGTCCCATTGTGTGCGGTGCTGTACAAACATATAGGAAAAAACAGTCTCTGAGTTTACTGTCTGAAGGATGCAGAAACAAGAAGGGCAAGGGCCAGGGATATAACAAACCAAGCAGTGGCCACAGGGCTGACTGGCACCCCTTGGATGTATCTGAAAGTGAGTCTTTTAACATAGGTGTTTTTTAAAATATGGTTTTAGGAAACAGCAAAGGCAAACTAACCAGGTTACACCTCACTTTGGCAGAGAGCAAAGGGGATAGGGCAGAGAACTAGGCTTCAGGAGACCTGGGGTCTGTTCCCAGCTCTGCCCCTGACTGCTGTGTGACCTTGGGCTAGTCCCTTCCACTGTGCCTCAGTTTCCCTCCCACCCTTTCTCTGTCCACTCTCTAGGGCAGAGACTGCGTCGATGTGACTGCACAGGACCCAGCGCAGCGGGATCCCAATTTTGGTTAGCGCCTGGGGATGCTACGGTAACGTGAATCATGATGTCAGACAAATAGCCCTAAGGCTTGGAAGCTGATCCGCGTGAGCGGGAGCCCCTCAAAGCCAATCAATCTGCAGGGAGCAGGGCTCGAGTCCATGTGCCAGGCTTGGCTGATGGTAGCTCAGTAGTATTTCAGTGGCTGACATTTGGATGGGAAGCGTCCCATTTCATCATGCGCGTCCCGGGCTATGAAACCAGACCTGTTTGGCAATGGTGAGCAATGCCTCCTACCACTGCCGGATGACAAACCGTGTGGGATAGCCATGGGAAAAGGCTGAGTGCTCATCCGACATGTCCCTTCTTGAAAGGGGATGACGGGCGAGGCCAGGGCAGCCTGCGGCTACTGCCGGGTGCGGACAGCACCGGAGACAGCAGGGGCGTTTGGAGAAGACCCCCTTGGTTCTCTGAAAGCAGAGCTGACAGCAGGCCCACACGATATTCAATAGAAGAGCGCCCCTTTTCCCCTCCTCCTGGAGTGGGTTGGCATCATCACTGTGTTTTTGCAGATCCACATGGAAAGGTCCACTGAAGTCAGTGATGTTCCTTGGGAGGAGGGGCGTGGCAAACCCAGATGGCTCATGGCCTAAAAATACAATAGAGGGGAGGATCAGAACAATAGTTACTTGGGGGGTGGGCGGTATTCGAGGGCTTGGAGCCCCCTTTTTGTTGCAGGTGCTTTAAGCTGGACACGGTGGGCGTCTCGAACGCAGCAGAGATAGAGACCACAGCTCAGCATGTGGAAAACACACAACTTTATTATGGTACAAAACACAAACCCACAAGCCATCACCCCAGGTCTCTTCATAGCAGCAAAGGATCCTACACGGTTTCCTCTGTGGGGCTCCTACGGTAACAGCTTGGGGGGCAGGAAAGCACCCCAGCACCCAGGGTCACTAGCAGCCAACTTCTCCCCTAGCCAAACTGACCATGGATGACTGGGCACCGGCCTCTCCTGTCTCCCATGCCCCACATCAGGCATTGGAAGCCAGCAAAACCTTCGCTGTCTTGTACCTGCTCCTGGGAGGTGGCAGGGAGTGTCACTCATCGCCAATTCCATCCTTGTATCCTACTTGCGGACGGCCACATGGGAACAAACCAATGAACCAGTTGGTCTGGTGTCTTGTCTCCCACACTGGACCTGGCCAATGGCCCATCTAGCCCAGGGACCCCACCTCCCCGATCAGACCAATGGAACATCGTTTTTCAGCCACATCAAATCTAGCCAATAGCCCACCTATCCCGGTATCCCTGCCACACCGGATCTCCTAGCCAACTCCATCAGTCCATCTATCCTAGTCTCCCTGCCTCGCTGATCAGACCAATGGACCCATCCAATAAGACAGGGGTAGTCAATTCTTTTTCATCGAGGTCCACATTTCTTGGTCAAGGTCTAGTCAAGGTCTGGACTCCAGAGAAAACAACAGTAATGATAACAGCAAGTAAATAAAAGGGGTCCATTCAAAAAGCATCTGGACAGCAGTAAGGTTTTGGCCTGTGGTCCACCTATTGACTACCCCTGCAATATGGTATCCCCACTTCACTGCCACTTCAGATCTAACCAGTGGCCCATCTGGCCAGGTATCCCCACTCCCTGAATCAAACCAATTCATCTCTGTAGCCCGGTATCTCCCGGATCAAACCAACACACTCATCCAGCCCAGCATCCTTCCCCCAGTGGTTCAGCTACCCGACATCAGATGCTCCTGTGCTGTATCTGCCCCAGAGAGGGGAAATTCCCCCACGACCACCCAGCTGGGGGATCAGCTTATGCCCTGAAGCACAAGTTTCAACAGCACCACCCCAGCTGGCTTGGTATTCACGCCTGTATGTTTCTCACCTGGGCAGTCCCCTGGCAAGGAGAGAGTGCAGGGCTAGGAGATGCTTGAACTAGCCAATTCGGGAGCACAGCACCAGCAAGCCCCTCCTGAAATCCCCACTATGCAGCAGGCGGGGAGACCTAGCGAGCAGTCTCTCCCCACCCAGTTTTACAGCCTTCATTGCCCCATAAATCAAAGGCCTGATGGGCAGGGGCTGGGTTCTGAGACATCCTCCCTGCAGGGAAGGAGGTGGCGAGCGGGGGTGGAGGGGGGTGGGGGAAAGCTGCCTAAATCCCCTGCTTCCACTGTTTTCCCTTCCAAACTGTTCAGCCGCCCTGGGACAGACCTATCCTATACGTGACTCTTTGGATCCAGGAACCAATTCAGATCTCTGCTTTAAAAAGCAGGATTGTCCCCAGCCTTCACCAGCAGAAACAATTCTATTAGGGGAACAGCGATTTTGCCCACTATCGATGGAGGGGGCAGGCCAGATGTGATGAGCTGAGCCCAGATGCCAAGGAATCCACCCCAACACCCAAAGGCCCTTGTGTTCTCAGGACCTGTTCACGGGGCACAGGAGGGAGAGATCAGACCAGCTCTGCTTCAGAGCTCCCAGGGGATGATGCCCTACATCCACTCCAGGATGGAAACCTGTAACCATAAGCATGTTTAAACTGTGGTCACTGCTAACAAAGGGGTCAGGTCACCCAGCCCAACTCCCACCAGCTTCACCGGAAGATGGATCAAGCCCAGAAACCAAGGGCCTGAAGATTTGTCTACACTGGGACGTTCAGGAAAACTAATCTGAATTCATTTTTAAAGTGGATTAGTTCAACTGCATTAAACCTCTGTGTGGATGGCCTTATTCAGAAGTAATTTGATTTAGCTTCATTCCCATTTAACTAATGCACGTTAAATTCACACCTTTAGTTAATCCAAATTAACTACTTTCCTGAATGTCCTTTTAGAGACATGACCTAAGAGGCAAAGTTTGGAGCCACTTGCATACTTGCTCCAAGTTAAGCAGGGCTCTGGTTTAATAGAGATGGACCAAAACTAGAATCATTGATGCAAACCCTACTTCTCCCAGCTCCAATTCCTGATCCTGGGGGTAGGACACACTGAACCTGGAACTAAACCCACACTGGTTTTGCTGCATAAATAACCAACCTAATTTGCCTAGTTATTAGCAAGAATCTAGCACACTCTCTTTGATGACAGCACAGACAGGGATAGACTCTAGTTAAGGTTAGAAGGTTTTGGATTTTCAGTGGTGAATATAAATAACTTAATTTCTTCCTCCACCTAGAAGGTGATTTAAAAAAAAAACACTCCACTGAAATTTACAAGGAGGGAAATTTAAATACATCAGGTGTCAGTTGTATCCCTGAAGTTAATGGAGGGATAAGCCAGGCCTCTCTTTTCACACAGGGAAGCAGCTATCCAGCTCTTCCGCTCTCTGTTCTGTCTGGTAATCAGTCAGTTAACAGGAGGATTTGATTTGTGACTGATGAATTGTGATTTCTACAATTGTGACATTCGGTCTGAATTAGTTTGGTGTCCCAGTTGTTTTTTGTCGTCACTTTCCTGAGAGGGTAAAAATGCAAATGGAGAAGAATCTGAAAAATCAGTATTATCCTTTGGAAGAGGCAGCGGGTGCACTGGGAATGTGACTAAGCCAATCACATGGACGGATGTCTGAGAGAGGAAAAGGGCCTTGATACCAGTTAAGGAAACTGTGCTAGGGAATCATAGACTATCAGGGTTGGAAGGGACCTCAGGAGGTCATCTAGTCCAACCCCCTGCTCAAAGCAGGACCAATCCCCAGACAGATTTTTGCCCCAGAGCCCTAAATGGCCCCCTCAAGGATTGAACTCACAACCTGGAGGTTCCAATCCTGCAGCCTTTACTCACGAGTCATTCCAACGAGACTCAAACTTGCAACACGTTGAGGCTCTTTGCCCTCAGCTATCCAGGAGCGTCTCAGAATTTCTCAACCCTTTAACAAAAGATGTCTGCAGCGAGCACAGTTCTGATCCCAGCCCAGATGGGACCAGAGACGAGCAACTGGTTTTTGAGACCGATACTGGGCAACTGCCCCTCCCCCCAAAGATACACATTAAACGAGCTTCGTTTCTAAGCTTCCATCCTCCCCAACTGGCAAAGCCTGGTTTCACCTTATTAATAATAATATTAATAAAATAATAATAATAAAACAGTCTAAGATAAAGAGCTCGGCTCATATCCGGAGATGGATTTGAACCTCCTCCAATCTCCAAACACTCTGGAAGTTAGAGGCTTCTTGGTCTCCAAACTCCACTCTGAATCTGGCAAATTACCCCATGTTTTAATAATGGGCCAAACCATATCAGCTGTGAAAAATCCCCAGGCCGGATTCTTGGCTGGTGTCGATCAGCGCACTGAAGGGAGGGGAACTGAAAGACGTCAGCTGAGGATCCGGCCCCCCAGAATTTTGGATCTAGAGGTAGCCGTAGCCGTGTTTTAAAAGCACACCCGAAATCGAACGACAGAGGCCCAACCCTCCACTCCCCACAGTTACATTTGCGCTGGCAGAAGAGCCAGTCTTACTTGCTCGAGGGTTCTGCCGACATTTAGGAAAACAATTATATGAAACAACCACTTCATTTAAAAAAAAAGGGGGGGGGGAGGAGGTAGGATCAAGAGAAGAAAAAAAAGTTTCCTTCGGGATAAACTGGTTTAAAATCAACAGTTTAACAAAAAAAACAGGGCGGGGGTGGAATTCCCAACCCATCAGCTTCCATAGCACAAATGATAATCTAGGCATTCAATAAATATCGCTGGAGTGCAGAGCATGGGATCAGGCTCAGAGCAGCCTGAATTCAGCTTCCAGTGCAAAACAAGACCCACCCAGCCCGGCTGCGACGGGAGAGGGTGGTTTGACGCTCCCCTCCCTCCCTGCCTGGCCCGATTGGGCCATAGGATCGGAATCTGGCTGCTGCCGGCTCCACTGGCTTCCCAACGCAACGCTCACCTCACCCGGGGGAGAGCGGGTGACGGCCGGGAGAGGGGTGGGCGTGGGAAAGGAGCAGCTGCACACCTTGGGCAATCGCACAAAGGCCGGCACGTTGCACAACTCGCCCAGCAGCCTCGGCGCAGGCCCCCTCCCCCCTCAAGGCTTCCCCCCGCATCCCCGGCCCAGAGCGACGCTCCCCACACCCGGGTGGCTCATCGCGGGGTTTCTCCCCCCACACCCATCCCCGTGGGGCGAGTGGGTTCCCGCCACGAGAAGGCTCTCTACTTTGCCGCTCGGCCCCTGTCCCTGGGCGCCAGCCTTGACTGGACTCACCCACTGCACCCGGGGACGATTGTCCTCCCAGCGCAGCCAAAAGCAGGAGGGGGCAGGGGTCACGCAACAGAGCCCGGACCCCCGTGGGAACCCCCTGGGGCAGATTCAGAGGGCCTGAACATCCAGGGGCTCCACTGTGGAACCGCCCCCTGCTCGGGCTGAGAACCCCTGTCCCTTCGGAGGATTGTAACAGTGGCTGCAGGGACCGAAAGCCGGGAACGGGGCTGTAATGGCTAAACACGGGGCCTTCTAATGGGAGGTGGCGAGAGAGGAGAGGCTGAGGTTGGCTAAGCTACTCTCGGGGTGGGGGATTTGCCCCCGCACCTAGAACCAAGCAAGTGCAATGCCCCTGACTCGGGCGGGTTCCCCCCCGGGGCCAGCTTGTCCCCTAGACTCCATGAGCTGGGCAGCGCAGCTGGACCCCCCTGCAGGAGCCTGTGGGTCAACCTCCCCCCACCCCCGCCCCGGGTAGCGGGGCAGGGACAGGTTTGCCCCAAACCACGCCGGGTCAGTAGCGCTGCGTCAGGTCAGACCGCTGTAGTGTTGGGGCTGTGATTCTAAGGGCCGATCCCAGCTCGTACAGGTCCTGGGGAATGGCGGGGGGCTGTTCCTGTGCAGGGGGCTAAGGGGGCATACTGGAGGAGGAAGAGCAGTGAACCCCTCTGCTCCCCCTCTCCAAGGGGTTCCCTTTGGGGCGAGCGGTTTGTAAACTAGCCTTTCCCAACCCACTGTTTTACCCTCCCCTTTTGGCCGCAGACGTGTCTGGACGGCTGCGGCCGAGAGGGAAGGGTCCTCGCTGCTCCGGGTCCCGCTTGATGTTCCTTCCAAGCAGCCTCCCTCGTGCCAGAAGTCGGAGCAGCACAAAGCAGGGGGCGGGCGGGCGGATCCCCGAGCAAGTGGGGAAGCTTCCGCAGCCCAGCGAGAGCAAGCCAGCCGAGCGAAAACCCCCCAGGGCAGGAGCTGGCTTCTGGGCGCTTCCCAGGCAGGGATCGGGCCAGGAGGGTCATTTTGCAGGGTGGAGTGCGAAGTGCGCAGCGGGGTGGGGTGGGGTGGGGTGGAAGAGGAGTTGGGGAGGGGAGAAGCGGTGGATGGGGGGAGGGGAGGAGGGGGATTGGGGCAGGGGGAGGGGGAGAGGGCAGTGGATGGGGGAGCTGGGGGGTTTAAGACCGACCCTCGGTTACAGCGTCTTGCCTGCCTCTTCTGCCAGCTGAGCCCGGAGCACAGCTCTCCAGACTCGGATTTTGCTGGTCAGCGGGGAGCATCTGGACTCGGGGCCCCAGCCTCCGCCGGAGACATCCCTCCCCCCACCGCTTTGCATGGGGCCGCCCCCTCCTCCTGACCCCTACCCCCACCCCATCGGCACAATCCCTCAACTCAGATCCTTCAAAAAAAGGTCGCAGCCCTTAACACCCTCCCTCTTCCGGTTCGGAGACCAGCCCCCGGGCCGGACCCTCCCAGCCCCCCGTGGGAGGAGAGGCCCCGTGCCCAACGCACCGAGATTGCGTCCTTTCCTCCTACAGGATAAATAGCTTCTTGCTCGGAGGACACAGCCACGTACGCCCCGGCCCAGGGACCACGGCCCCGCCCGGGGAGACCCGGCGCCGGGTAGGGAGCGTCCATCCTGCGGTACCGGAGAGAGGAGGGGGCATCTCGGAGGGGGAGAAGCTCAGTTGGGCTGGGTCGCGGGGCTGGAGCTGCCAGCCTCGGGCTCCCTCTTGCCTTTCCCCGGAGGGTCTGCCCCGCCCTTGCCCTCCCTCTCCGCTCCCTCTTTGGCCCCCTCGTGCGTCTTCATGTGCTTGCTGAGGTGGTCGCTCCTCATGAAGACCCGGCTGCACACGGGGCAGGTAAACTTCTTGGTCCCCGTGTGGGTCTGGAGGTGCCGCTGCAGCTCGTCGGAGCGGGTGAAGCGCTTGCCGCAGAAGAGCCAGTTGCAGACGAAGGGCCGGTCCCCGCTGTGCCACCGCAGATGGGCTTTCAGGTGGGAGGTCTTGGCGTAGGCCTTGCCGCAGCCGGGGATGTGGCAGTTGTGCAGATGCTTCTTCTTGGCCCCATCCGGGCACGGACCCACCCTCTCGGCCTCCTGGCAGTTCGGGCAGCGGCACACTGCCTGCCCGGCGCTCCGGGGCACCGATCGCCTCGAGCTCTTCGGCCTAGCGGTACCGTCCACAGCCTGCTCGGGAACGTGCGGCTCCGGAGGCGAGGCGAGTGGCTTCAGCTCTTCCTGGCCCATCAGGTGCTGGGCCGAGGGCAGGAGGTGATGCGGTGGGCCACAGAGCTGGTGCTCAGCGGAGCCGTAACCCCCCAGCACCGGCTGGAGTCCGCCCGCCGGGCCAGGGGCTTGCAGGCCGCCTTGACCCGGCGGCAGCTCCATCCAACTGGATCCGGCATGGAGATCCCACCAGGGATTCACGCCGCCGTCCTCGGTGGCGTTGCTGGGGTGCGAGGGCCTGAACCAGGGCTCGTAGGGGTGGGCCATTTCGGGAGGCGGCTGCAGGAGCTTGGAGTACGTGCCGGGGGCCAGCAGGCTGTCACCATCCAGGTCTAGCCTCGAAGAGCCATGCAGATCATAGCCGGGGGCGGCCGCGAACTCCACCCCGGGGCCCACCAAGGGCAGGTTCTGGACCTCCGTGGGCTGGAGAGGGGAGGGGAAGTTGCCGCCCGCCTCGGAGCTGGCGTGGGGCTGGTAGGGCTGCAGGGGCTGCAGGTCCAAGCGCGGGGAGGAGGAGCGCGGCGTGTCCGAGCGCTGGTTGGCAAGAGAGCCGCAGACGGCCGTGAGCATCGCCGGACTCCAGAGCGGGGCCGCAGCTCCAGCAGACCTGGAGCGGGAGAGAGAGAGGGAGAGGAAGGGGTCTGAGTCAGGAGTCATGCTCACTCCTGTCCCATGCAATTAACCCTGTGCTGCCTTCCCTTGGAATGGGCCCGAGTTTCCCCTTCAACCATGGAGCCAGAGATGGGTCTGGGCCAGGTCACTTGTTTCACCGGGGGCTGGGATCCTGCTAAGCTCCTCTGTGCACCGAGCTTGGCACAGGACACCAAATACATCCCAGGTGTAACCCCACTGATTTCAGTGGATTTGCATCGGGGATGAATCTGGCCTAGAAACCGCTCCTCTCTCATATGGCTGTGCCACCAGGACAAGACGACGACCTTGGTTTTACATATTATTTGTATTCCTGTAGCCCCTAGGAGCTCAGGTTTGGGATCCGGACCGTGTGGCGCTAGGCGCTGTACAAACACAGACCATAAAAGATGGCTCTTATCCCAAGGGGCTTACAGCCTAAGGCATTTGTCTAAAGAGACTTTCAATCAGTAGATCTCAAAGGGCTGTATCATTATCCCCATTTTAAAGATGGGGAAACTGAGGCCTAGAGAAGAGTAGTGACTTACTGAAGGCCAGTGGCAGAGCTAGGAATAGAACCCAGATCTCCTGAGTCCCCATCCAGTGCTCTAGCCATTAGGCCACCATCCCTTGCCCCCAACCCTACCCCTAAGGGCTGATGTCCTCCAGCTGGAAGGCTGTCTACTTGGGTCATTGACTCAGGGAAGGCGAGGTGGACAGGACAGAACATGAGCCTTTCACCCTCACATCCAAAGCCTGTTGGAGTCAGTGGAAATGCTCAGGTTGACTTCAATGGGCTCTGGCTGTGTGACACATGCCAGGTGGCGCTAAGGATCCCGAAGCACCAGGCACCTTGGACAATAGATCTGATGCTGCTCCCCATCCCCTTACAGCTCCCCTCTGTCCACAGAGGCCCCCCCAAGTTGCCCAGCCCTGTAGGGTCCCTGGACAGCATCTCAGCTTTGCATCTTGCCCTAGCGGCTCTGTGCGCTGTCCAGATGGCCAGGGCGTTTTTGAAGGTATTTTAGAGGCTCCTAAAAAAGGAGGGGGAGGAGCAGATTTAAATATAGTTTAGTCTCCGTTCCTAAAAGGCCCTCGGAGACAGGCCCCTCTAATAGGCAGCTTCTGGGAAGCGGATTACAGTAATTACAGTCTGATCGTCTGTGCCGCTGGATGGAAGAGGCTCCGGCTGCGTTCTGGAGCACCTCTGAGCTGAGCCTGGGGTGGCAGGGGCGTGGGGACACCTGGCGGGGTATTTATAGCCTTGTTCTGCACGGCTCCGTAGAACGCCCCGGAACAGGCCTGCGGCGCCGCTCGGCTCGTTGGGCCCATCCCCGCGGGAGTGGCGCTGAAGAACACAGGAGCTGGTCGGTCAGGTATGGGCCATCCCTAGGAGTTGGCCCATTGAGGTCTCCTGCCCGGAGCAGCGGCCAAGCCAAACCTTGCCCCCATCCCTCCCTCCATAAGGCAGCTGGCTAGTCGTGCAGCGCCGTGCACAAGGAAAAGCAGAGGGGATTTCTCACTGCCCCTTGGGACTAGCCCTGAAATGCAAGCGCCGGCCAGCGAGGCACCGTCACTCAGGATACAGAGCTGGGGTCTCCCCAGGCAGACAAGGTCCCCACCCTCTGATGGGGGAGGGCAGAGTTCCTGACTGAAGTATAAACAATCACTAACTGGTGTGTCCCTGCCCATTGACCCGACCGGATGGAATCAGAATGGCTCAGTTGTGTGCCATAGGCCCAAATACGGCCATGGGGCTTCTTAGCTCCAGTGGTCCTAGCTCTGTCTTATGAAGCGTCTGAGCGCTGCTGCCCCAGCGGAAGGGTTTGATCTGCAGCAAAGGGACAGCGGGGAAGTCCTAAGGGGACTGGGATGATGCCGGGGTTAGCAGTAGATGTAAAAAACGAGCTCATCTGTCCCCCAGAACAGAACATCACTGCATTGCATCACTCACAAGGCGGCCACCAGAATGTAGGTTACCCTTTGCCGCAGAATATACAGGGCCGTGACTTTAATCTTGGGGCACGGCCTCCTCCCTTTCCCTTGTGTACAGCTAATCCCAAGGAGGGAGGGACGGACACCAGCTCCTTCCAGGGGACAGTTCCACTGGGTTGGTCCTACCTGGAGCTCAGTTGTTCTCCAGCACCAACCCCACAGCACCGGATTTAATCCCATGCTGCCTGACGGCAGTGTAGCAATATTGGCGTGAACGCTGCATCAAGCCCATGGGCATTTCACAGGGTCTTAGCTCTCTAGCTTACATACTTATCTGGCCCCTGTATTATCTGAGCATTTCACAGGCCAACCCATTTATCCTGATAACACCCCTGCGAGGGGCAATTGAGACACAGAGAGATTTAGTGACTTGCCTGCACAGGAAGCCTGCCGCAGAACAGAGACGTGGACCAGGGTATCCCAACCCCCAGGCCAACGCCCTAACCATTGGGCCACCCGTCCACTCACTCAGCCCTCTCACACGAGGCAGGCTGCTGGCCTTTGCTTTGGCACCAGTTGTCCTTCAGCGCTCAACAGCAGTGGGCGTGGGCCATCCGGCTGCCGATCAGGCGAGATCTGTGCAGCGGTTTAGACCACTTCACTGGAGGTCGCTGCTGGTCACCATCCCCAAACCACCGAACTCCGCTCCCCTCCCCCAATGCCCCCGAGTTCCCTCTCCCTTCCCTGCTGCACCAGCAGATCAGGGGCTGCAGCAGTGACACAGAGCCTACAGCTCCCCCTGCCCCAGATGATGGGGGGCAGAAGTCCTGTCCTCCCAGTAACCACGTCAGCTCTCCTTTCAGCAGCTCGCTCAGGGCCCGTCTGCCTGTCCCGGGGCTGGAGTCGCCAGCCAGCCCTGCCCTGCTCCCCAGCAGCCAAGATCAGGGTTCAGGGCCTGCGTTGGGTCCCACGGGATCCCCGTTTGTTTCTCAGGATCCCAGCTGGTGAGTCACCCTGCCGAGCTGCGGAAACCCCAGTGGGGCGAGGCGCCCCACCCCAATGTCGAAATCCACCTGCCAGGACTAGCTCCCCGCCCCCAAGTTTCCACCAGGAGCGGTACCCAGCCTCCTCCGTGGGGCGCAGCCCTCGCTCTGCTCCAATTGTCTCCTGCCCCCAGGAGTCTTGCTCAGCCTTGGTAACCTGTACCCCATCTTGCTCCCCCGCTTGGCAGCTCTCCATACGTCCCTCCCACACGCACCTTCCCAGGCCCCCCTAACCTTCCTCATCTTCCTGCTAATGACCATTCACTGGAGAGCCAATCCAGACAGCCCAGGAGATTCCTCACCCTCACATCCTCACCCTCAAGCCAGGGGACGCTGGAAAATCCTGACTCCACTTGGACAGAACCAAGGGAAACCGAAAGCTCCATTCACCCTTGTTGGCCTACCACACAGCTCTCCCCACTTCCCCCTACCCTGCCCTGCATTGCTATGGACAAAAACATGCCGATTTGCACATAAGATGACATGGAGAGGTGTGGGTGGGGGTAAGGGAATAGGGCAAAGACAGCCCTGACAGCAGGAAAACAGGGAGAAAAATCCACAGACACACCAAGAGGTGTCCTGGAAAGAGGACGTGTGCGCCAGCCCCAGATGTATAGAAATCAAGAACGATGCCGCTCCAGAAATGGTCGCTACCAGCAGCGTCATGAACTCCCCCCCCCCCCCATCTCACCAGGACAGCTGACGGGAGTTTTCTGTCCCCTTTCTCATGCGTTGTCCCCCACAGATCCTCTCACTGGAAGGACCCGCAGCAGCGTTAAAGGGGACACCTAACCTCAATTAAAAAAAAGAACAAAAAAAATCACACCCTGTCGGAAAGCTTTTACCATCGTTGTTATAAGTAACGCCCGGGGCGGGAGGGGAGGGGAGGCGGGGAAATGTGCTTATGTGATAGTTGCCCTGTTGGCCAAAACACTATGGATTGAACCAGTGATCTCCTGAGCTAGAAGCTAGAGCCGGAACTAAAGAGACAGGCTTCTCTAGCTGGGGGGCTGAAACAGTTGGATGGTGTCTGGGGATTGGCACAGGGAAGGATTTATAGCACTCACTGCCCGGTGGGGGACACTCAGGGCCATCCGAGCAAGTGGAGGTGACACAGATCAGAGGAGAACACACATTTCTCTGGGTTTTTTCCTTGTTTGTTTACAGCCTCTTTAATTTTGTGTCGAGTCAGTTTCACGGCTTCCCCCGGCTAGTCAATTTCCCCTCTGAGTTTGTGTGGGTCTCATCCCAACAGGAGAGGGGGAGAACAATTATTGTACAGGCATTGGAGATGGGGACAGGCCCCAGGCCTGAAGTTATGTTTGTTTCAGTGTCAGAAACTGACTAGAGTTCACACGGATGGTGCCTGACTGAGCAAACAGGTTCCTGGTATATTTGGACTCAGGACACCAAATCCAATTCTCTGCCCACCCACAAACTCTAGGGCTCAGAGCCGAGTTCAATTCTCCGTCAGCCTTAACCAGAAGAACACTCTTTCCCCCACATTTCAGTGGGTGGGGTGGTGGAGCTGGGAGTGGAATTCCCTCCCAGATGGCATTGCTCCAGCCCCATCTTTGGCTCCATGACGCTGACCATGCCAAGGCTCTGGACCAGGTTTGAAACACACTGGGATAGCTCAGTGGTTTGAGCATTGGCTTGCTAAACCCAGGGTTGTGAGTTCAATCCTTGAGGGGGCCACTTAGGGACAGGGCCAGCTCCAGGGTTTTGGCCGCCCCAAGCAGCCAAAGAAAAAGAAAAGAAAAGCCGCGATCGTGATCTGCGGCAGCAATTCGGCAGGAGGTCCTTCGCTCCCAGGCGGAGTGAGGGACCGTCCGACGAATACCTGGATGTGCCGCCCCTCTCCGGAGCGGCCGCCCCAAGCATCTGCTTGAGAAGCTGGTGCCGGCCCCGCTTAGGGATCTGGGGCAAAATCAGTACTTGGTCCTGCTAGTGAAGGCAGGGGGCTGGACTGGACTTGATGACCTTTCAAGGCCCCTTCCAGTTCTAGGAGATGGGATATCTCCATCCATTTAAAGCATAGGGTGGACTGTGTCCGCACCCAACAAAACCACAACCCCACCCCTCTGACCGTGTCGCAGGGTGGGGCCCAGTGCATGATCTTAGCTAGCAGAGTGGCTTAAAGAGTAACTCTTCCCACCCTACCCCTCCAATCCAGCATGGACTGGGAAACTGCACTACAACCATGCTAGCTACAGCCCTGCTAACTACAACCAGGTCCAGAAGCTGCCGTCAGCATGGTTCAGGCCAGACAGGGCCCTACAGAGCAGGGCTTCGCTAGCTTGGGCAAAGCTGATCTTCTGGACAAAGGTCCCATGGACCTTCCACCGCCAAGGATAGGGAGGCAACAGTGCCTAGAAAAAGCAAAGCGGGGAAGGGAACTAACCAAGGAGCCAACTGGGAATGTGCCCAGGGTGCTGCTACCATCTGGGCTGGCTTCCCCAGAACTGAGCAGGTCCGGCTGCTGATGGGGAGGGGTGCGTAAAGGGTTAACATCGTGGTGGGGGGAAAGTCAGGAGAGAAAGAAGATCCCCCCCCCCCGGTACTGAACAGCAAAGCCCCCTTTAACCACTGAGTTGCCCCGAGCGTGAGGGGTGCTAAGGGCCCTCAGGTCTCTCGGACATCAATGGCCACGTGAGGGCATGTGGTGTGTCTCAGGATAAGGCCCGCAAACACAGCAGCCGTCTGGCCAGCAGTCGGGGGCAGGAACCGACGTGGTCCCCTCTCCACATGGAATCACGGGCCAGGCTGGGTCTGTGAACAGGTGCCCGACTCCCTCCCTTCCTGCGTGGCATAAACAGATTTGGCCAAGCAGCCCCTAGGAGGGCTCAGTGCCCAGCCCTGCAGGACCCACTCCGGCCACCCTCACTGGCAATTCAACGGCTCTTTCCTGCAGGACTCAGACAGGCTCCTACCCCCTCCCCAGTAAGTTGCAAACACACACTCAGCCTCCATCAATAGGAAGCAAATGCTGCTTCCCGGATCCCTGGGGACGGCTCCAGAGCTCTCGCCAACAGGCCCAGCCCTGCCAGCACGGGACTCCGGTTGACTCCGAAGGGTAGCAGTGTCTAGGGGGAGAACTGAATGCAGGGGCCATCAAAGCCAGGCTGCGCTGCGTGGTAAAACGGCTTAAGAAGCAAAGGTGCCCTGAAAGGGCCCGATCCCTCTTAGGGCCAAGCTAGGACTCTGGGTGACACAGGGAGCTGTCTAGTCACCATGTTAAGGAGCCGGGCAGGCAGAAAGCAAAGCAGGGACTTTTCCTATCCCAGCTCTCTCTAAGCTCCAGCGTGGATGTCAACACCAGTCTAGGCCTGGGGCCAATTTGTCACCTCAGTGACACACGCACAGATGCAGAATAATCCCCCTGATTTCCCAGGAGTCATTCCGGATTGACACCAGGGGGACTGCGGGGAATCAGACCCTCCTTCCAGGTCTGCACTTGGTTACCAAAGCAGAGCCCCCACCCACTGCAGCCACTCCTGGTCATGTCACTAACACGTGGCCTCGGATCCTGGCTTTGCATTCCCAGAGCGCTGTACAGACTCACCAGTGGGCCAGGGAGGGGAACAATCTTCTTACCCCGGGAGAGTTTGAGACATTTTCCCATCCCCAATCCGGACAAAAAGTTGAAGTCTTGACAATTTTTGTGAGCACGCGCGACAGGTCAGTCATTTTGAAATGTTTTGTTTCCATTGCAGCTTTATATTTACTTTATTTACCCTAAATTAACACAATCTTCAAAACAAACATCTCTCTTTGAACCAAAACCAGGAACTGTGTCAGTCAGAAAACACCAACATTTACCAAAATTAGAAATCCAAATATTTTTTCAATACAGGAAAGTCATCAAAACCGGCCAGCTCCAGTGAACACTTTTGCTTTTGACAGGTCAACATTTTCCAGCAAAAAATAAATAAATGCGTTGATAAACTCGTGAGCAGCTCCGCTAATAAACCCCTCAAGCCCCCGAGGAAAGTCTAAGAGGCACGAGCACCATTTTACAAGTGGGGAAACTGAGGCACCGAGCAGTGCCTCGCCTGGGCTGGGACTAGAACTGGGCAATTCTTGGCTGCCCGTCCTGAGCGCAGAGCACCTCGCACTAGGCGAGAAACCAACCACAAGCTGCAGGTGACCGGCTTTGAAGAGGGGGGTGGCAGGGAGCCAAGACAATCGCCCCTTCAATCGATCCTGGCCAGGTGTCCAATCAACCACAACCTTCAGTGTGTGGGGGAGGGGGGCTGGATTGGGCCCAATCCTGCCAACTCAGACCGGAGGCTGGACTGAGTTAATACCAACCCAGCCCCCTCTGCAGGACACCCTGAACCCCAACAATGCGCCCCTTAGCTTCCGGAGGAGAGGAACCCCCCGCCGCCCCCCCCAGACCCTGCCTGGCCGAGTGTGGGGGGCTTGTCCCACTACAGCTGCACAGCTCCAGATCCCCCCTCCCCCCAACGCCACACTCTCCAGCACACCCCACTTTGCACCCTGGGGGTCTGCCCTGGGCGGGGGGGGGGAGCTCACCCGGGGGCCCGCGGCCCTTTCCACCCGCCGCCGCAGGAGCGATCGCGACCAGCTGGCCGGGGGAGCAGGAACTTCAGCAGGTGCCCCACGACGGGAGAAGGAAGGACCCGGTCCCGGGGCCTCTCCCCACCTGGCTCCCAGGGCCGCTGGGGGGGGGCTAGACGCCCCTGGACACACAGAGGACGCTGCCCCCCCAAGCGCCGGCGCCGCGGACAGCTGCCCCCCACCCGCGTTAGCATCCGCGGGGAGCGCGCCCCGGAGCAGACCCACGAAGTTCAACTACCTGCAGATTCAGCGGGGCCCGGGGGTGCCGCGATCTCCCCGCGGAGCCGTCCTCATCGGGGCGCCCGTCCCGTCCGTTCGCCCGCCCCACGGGTAGAGCCCCTCGGCCGCTGGCCAGAGCCGGTCCCCGTGCGGAGCGAGCGAGCGAGCCCAGGTGAGCGGAGCGAACCCGCCCTGACTCACGGCCGCGCTCCGCTTCCCTCCTGGCCCGGCTCCGCCCACCTACCTGCCCCAGCTGCTGTTAACCCTTCCAGACGGCTCCGGCCGGCCGGGGAGCCCACACAGAGGGTGCTTAGAGGGGAGAAACCGGCCCCAGCGCTGGGCTCGCTCCCAGCTCGCTCCACGGACCCGATCGCGGGCAGGGCGATGAACACGTGCTTTGCCCCCACACCCCAGCCGGACACACGGGAACCCGCCGGCTCTAGGGCGCTTGGGAAGGAACGTAACTAGAGTCAGGTGTGATTATTAGCGCCTCTGGAGGGGTGGCCACTGGGTGCCTGGGCCGGTCTATCCCCTCTGTGTAGCTGTAGACAGCCAGGGCTTCCTAGCAGGGACCCAGCCCTGTCTGTTGGTACTACGGCCCGTTCAGCACACCTTTGGGTGCTGTAAAAAGAGAGAGACAGAAGGGACGGATGGATGGGTAGATGTGGGTACATGGGGATGGATAGATAGATTAGATATGCATGAGGTAGATAGATGTGGGTGCAGGGGGATGGATAGATAGATGGATGGATGGATGCAAAGAAGTGGGATCAGAGTAAAGGATAGATAGATAGTGGGGTGTGTATGGGGATAGATAGATAGATAGTGGGGTGTGTATGGGGATAGATAGATAGATAGATATAGATAGTGGGGGGTGTATGGGGATAGATAGATAGTGGGGATGTATGGAGATAGATAGATAGATATAGATAGTGGGGGTGTGTATGGGGATAGATAGATAGATCTAGATAGTGGGGGTATATGGGGATAGATAGATAGATAGTGGGGATGTATGGGGATAGATAGATAGATAGTGGGGGTATATGGGAATAGATAGATAGATAGATAGATAGATAGTGGGGTGTGTATGGAGATAGATAGATATAGATAGTGGGGGTGTGTATGGGGATAGATAGATAGATAGATAGTGGGGTGTGTATGGGGATAGATAGATAGATAGATAGATCTAGATAGTGGGGGTATATGGGGATAGATAGATAGATATAGATAGTGGGGGTGTGTATGGGGATAGATAGATAGATCTAGATAGTGGGGATGTATGGGGATAGATAGATAGATATAGATAGTGGGGATGTATGGGGATAGATAGATAGATATAGATAGTGGGGGTATATGGGAATAGATAGATATAGATAGTGGGGGTGTGTATGGGGATAGATAGATAGATATAGATAGTGGGGGTGTGTATGGGGATAGATAGATAGATAGATAGTGGGGTGTGTATGGAGATAGATATATATAGATAGTGGGGGTGTGTATGGGGATAGATAGATGTGCAGGAGGCCAGACAGATAAGTGAGTACATGAGACTAGATAGATCAGATACAACAGAGAGAGATTTGAGAGATCCAGTCGAAGAGGTGGCTGCTGGGTAGCGAGCTGAGATCAGCTGGCTAGATTAGACCCATGATGAGTGCCTGACAGCTACTGACATTCCTGGCAGATTCTGGAGAAAGCCCCAAAGCAAAACAGAGCTGACCCCATTCCAAACCCTGCTCTGGGTCACCCGGAGGTCACGGGAGGGCACTGCAAACTGGAGCGACTTCGCTCTCTGGACTTTGTCGATTGAGTTTGACTACAAGGGCCCCCGCCCTGTCCTTTTACCAGCCCTCCTCCCATCTCCTGGCAGTAGCTGCAATGCAAAGAGAGACATCTCGCCGAGGGGGCCGTATTGGCTGTTTGTGGGTCGGAGCGGTGAGAGGCACCTGCGCGCCAGCCGTCCTGATTTAGGAGGGATGAGTCTCTGTGGTCAGGAATATCGCCCACCCCTCCAAGACCGTTCCTGGGCCCTGCTCAAAGCTCACGGAGGTCAGCGGAGTCTCTCCATTGACTTCAATGAGAGCGTGTCAAACTCACGGGGGTGAAGTTGTCTGACCTGTGCTATGCACGAGATCAGATTCAATGGCCTAATGGTCCCATCTGGCCTGAAACTCTGTGAATCTGTTAGACTGGGCCCACCGGCTGGTGCACATCAATAGAATGAACAGCCATGTCCCTGTTTTCCTCCTGGAACATCCCTGTTTAAGGATGGCGAGCACTGGCAGCTGGGCTGGAAAAACCCTCTTCGATCACTGGGTCCATCCACTTCGGGAGGAAGAGCACTAGAGAGCAGACTGTAACCAGACTGTAACAGGATTCAAACAAGAACTAGATAAGTCCATGGAAGATAGGTCCATCAATGGCTATTAACCAGGATGGGCAGGGCTGGTGTCCCTGGCCTCTGTTTGCCACAAGCCGGGAATGGGCAACAGGGGATGGATCATTTGATGATGACCTGTTCTGTTCATTCCCTCTGGGGCACCTGGCATTGGCCACTGTTGGAAGACAAGATACTGGGCTAGATGGTCCATTAGTCTGACCCAGTGTGGCCGCTCTTATGTTTTTATGACTTCCTATTAATGGAGGGTCGGCTTGACTCCTCCAGCCTCCAAGCAACCTTCTGCTCGCACAGCAGCAGTCCTGCTACCTCCGAGCTGCCCAGAGCATCCTGGCTTTATGGAATATGAACAGTGTGTATCTCTCCTTAGACCAATAGACTGGGAGCGCTTTGTAGCAGGGACCATGGCCTTCTGTTTGTGCTATAAAGTGCAGAGCACACTAAGACAGATAGCTAGATACACCGATCCATCTTTAACATTTCTACTGAGTAGCATCTAAAAGCTCAGTCTAGATAATACTTAGACCTGCCATGAGTGCAGGGGACTGGATTAGATGATGTCTCGAGGTCCCTTCCAGTCTCTCTCTCTCTCTCTCTCTCTCTCTCTCTACACACACACACACACACACACACACACACACACACACACACACACACACACGTACGTACC